TCTGTGAGTTTGAGGACAGCCTGGTCTACAAAATTAGCTCCAGGACTGCTAGGGCTGTTACGCAGAGAAACCCTGTCTCAAAAAAACAAAAAAAAAGTAATTCTACTACCATAGGATTAGATATCAGCTGACTCCCAGCCCATGAATATAAACACAATGGGCAAAAATGATTTTAGCTGTGGTTTCTCGGTTCAAGAACAAAACATTTTTAGCACTTTACTCTCTTTTATTCAATGACTTAATCCTAGCAGTAGGGCTCATGGACATTTTACAATTTGGATTGTATTACCATGTACTACTTGGGTGTGTTTAAACATACCTGCAACTACAGCACTTAGAACAAAGAGGCAGGAGGATCAAGTGTTTCAGTTAGCTGAAAGATAATAAACTCTATTTTAAAATTCTTCTCTTCTGGTCAGTCAGAACCATGTAGATCCCACAAACATGGGCGCACTACAAGATGGACCCAGGAGCAACCCAGGAAGTATCTGTGACACTACACACTAGGTACAGCCACACAAGTCTCAGGTGTCTGGAGCTATAGAGTTTCATCACTGGGCCTGCCCTTCTGCAGCTTTCCTGTGTCCCTCGATCCACCGGATCACTAGGAACCATAGCCCAGAGGGGACACACTGGGATACTTTGATAGACAATGCCTGTAAGCTACTAGTGATGTAACCCTAGCTGAGTGTGACCTTGAATGTCTGGTTTTTCTGTCTTCACCTGTGAATGCTGGGATTAAAGGCATGGACCACCACGTCTAGTTTGATGCACTGCTGGAGCTGAAACCCAGGACTTTGTGTAAACCAAGCAAGCACTCTACTGACTGCTGTGCTCCCAGCCCATACGTGAGAAACTTTAGATTGAACTATTGTCCCCAAGAAGTCATATACTTCACAAAATTTGCTTTTGATGTGTGAACATGTGTGTGCATATACAGGTACACATGCAAGTTGCACGTGTATGCAGGTGGAGGCCATTTTAATTTCTGAGTTTTTCTCACTGGTTCTGTTAGCTCACTGATTCAGCCAGTGCTCCTAGCCAGCAAGTCCCAGGGACCTTCCTGTCTCCGTGGCAATGGGGTTGCACGCATTTACCACCATGCCCAGTTTTTAACTGATTGTTGATCCAAACTCAGGTTCTCAGGTTTACAAGGAAAACATTTTAGTAACTGAGTCATCTCCTCAGCCCCACAAAACATTGTCATTTTTCATGGTACTGGGTGACCTTCTGCTGCTAACTAGACACTTTACAGCTGAGCTCCATCATCAGCCTAGTGTTTCGTTCTTCAAACAAGGCTCTTGCTCAAGCATGCCTCCTGTTTAGCATTCCCAGCCGCTAGGTCTTTTAGTGTATGCTATCATGTTTAGACAGTTTCAGTAACATTTAAGATAGTTAGCTGGGTGTAGCACTTATTTATAACCCAGCACTAGAGAGGCTGATGGAGAATGGAGGATCTGAGGCCAGCCCAGGCTACAAAGATTGTCTCAAAAACAGAAAATGCACCAAAACTGCCACCAGGATCGAAGAGCAATTTGGGCATTGGTTAGGTGCTCCTTAAAGGACTAAATACAGGTACTAACGGCAGTGAACTGATCAAGACAAGCCCTTTTGCATAAACTGAAAGTTACCATCACCTTCTCTGATGATGAGACGCAGTTCAGACTTACAGATACCCAGCAAAATCTTGGTGTCTTACCTTCTACCAGAAGAAACCAACCCCCCAGGACTGGCCCGACACCAAGCTCCTATAATTGTTCAACTATCCAGTTCAGCTACCTCTATCCAGATTAAACAGTACCCAAAGACCCTGAAAACAAAGGCTTTTCCCCCATGCCGTACGCTATTATGATCTTTTGTATCTGGACACCTTCTAGGTCAGAGCAAAAGTAGATTTTTACTTCTGTGTAACTTCAATGCAGTTACAGGTCTAGCTTTGTAAATACTGTCTGCTCAGATAAATACTATTGCATATTAGTCCCTCAAAGAAAATGTCTGTTTGACCTCATATTCTAGGAAGAAAACAATAACCAAATAAATGGAATATAACTTCCTAGAGGTTCTTAGAACCTTTTCTTCTGAGTGCTTACCCATAATTTTTGGTTTGTTTTTGTTTTACATTTTTGACAAGGTCTCCTACATCCAAGGCTGGCTTCAAACTTGCTATGGCACAGAGTGACCGTGGATTGCCCTGCTCCTACCTCCCAAGAGCTGGGATTACAGATGTGTGCCACCAGGCCTGGTTTCTGAAGTGTTGGCGATAAGACTCAGAGCTTCAGGCATGACGGCTCTAACAAGTGGGTTTCATACCAAGCTATATGTAGATATTTTTCTCATTTCTTAGGAATATCTTGAGTTGAAAAGTTGTACCTAGAAATGCTAACCCAGGATGCTAACCCTTTACTAAGTAGAAGAGTTATTGTTTCCCACAGATGCCAAACAGAAAACAAAATGTTACTAACATTGTCTATTTATTCATTAATAAAAAGTGCATAGTACAGCCCTTTACCCCAATCCAAGTACTCAGTAAAAGATTAACAGTAAATGCTAGATGGCACAAACTGATTTGTTTGGCATGAATGAAACATTTAGAAACAGCAAATTACATTTAGTACATCATATGACCACTTTTGCTTTTAACAAATAATCATTGGACATGTAACAAATACTCAGGATTCTTCACCGAGAAATATAAGACTGTCCCTAGTTTCTATTGCAACAACAAAATTTAATCATTTGATATTAAGTCTCCTCATTTTTCCTTCTTCAAGTTGTTGTTTTGTGATTTAAACTAAGTTGGTCAAATTTGAGCATAAAATCACTGAAAGTGACAAACTTTTGGTTAGAGTGACAGACTTCCACAATCTAAGACATCAGTGAGTTTATAAACACTATCACAGATTCTAAATGGAACCACGGGACAGCAATACTCACGGATACTCTGGAGAATCACTGTGCATTGTGAAACATGTCTTCTTAAGCATGGGATAGTGTTTAGATACATGATAGAATCTTTCGCTGGAAACAGTCCTAGTTTTACCCTGTCCCAGTGTGGAAGAGGGAAACCACTACTACTAGCTTTTGTATAACACCGTACGAAATGACTCAGACTCTGGACAGCACACGGCCCAGACTGACAGGAATGGAAGATTTCCCCTTTGCTTTCTCTGTTTTAAGAGAACTGCAGCTACAGAGCAAGCGAAGGTTTGCAAGCCAAATAAATAGTGGTATTAGGAATGTGCTCAGTTAAGACATGTAGAAGCTTCAAGAAGAGAGCAATATAAATCATTAGTGAGGTTAATAATAACAATATTCTATACAGGATACCACTATTTTAGGAATACAGAAAAATTTCCACAGCAAACAAAATAACAAAGAATAAAAAATAAAAACCCAAGATCAAGTACTTCTCAAAGAAACTCAACTGTTAACAGGCATTGAAATGTCTGGATTGGATTTTTCTATACAATTGTGCTCATATATACTTCTGGTGAACATGTAACTAAGCTTTTCCTGTGTTGGAAAGCAAAACCTCTGAAGGGTTAAAACACCAGGGCTGTGTCACGAACTCAAGGGAGGGCTCATGTGGGGAAAGGCTCAGCTATTTACAGAGTGTGCATGTGATGGAAATGAGCGTCTAGAACGAGAATCCACACTTCCAAGGCTCTAACACGTGTGTTCTCTTCCTACATTTGTTCATTCTTTTTTAACCAAGGTCAAGTCTCAACTACTCTGGAGACTGAGTGAATACATCAGCTCTCCACTGGGTGTTGCTTAGGTGGGTTAGAAAACGGACTGTTGGGACACATGCGCAGGTCTCCAAAGGGTGAGGACAGGAAAGGAAATTCTACAGGGATTTAGTTCCCTTTGATGCCTCCAGTCTTGTTCAGCTTTATGTCCCTCGCCCCATTTTCCCTTCTGAGGCAAGGTGTTCCTACACAGCCCAACCTGACCTGCAATTTACTACTTAGTCCAGTTTGGCCTCAAGACTGTCGCCATATCTGGCTTTTGGTAAACTGGCTACCAGAAATGAAGCAGGGAAAACTAACAGTTGGCCACGGCAAGAGAGAAACCTTTCTTTCACCCTGTGGTCTTCTGCTCGGATTTAACTTACCTGGGTTAAGTCACCCTTTATAAGCACAAGTACCTAAAAGATGGTTCTATTATTTCAAGCCTTGAGCGTTGAGTCAGGGGAAATGTCAGCAGCCAGAACCACAGCACAGGCCAAAGTGATGCCCTGAACCATGCTTCTGGCCAGAGTGTACCCAGCACATGGGGGATAAGCAGTGACATGGAGCCGGGCCACTGACAGACAAGTTTATTTAGTTTACACAAACAGTTTCTCAGATCTGTACAGTGACAGCCTAGACTGACCCAGGGGAGGAAATCTTTACATTGATAGCAAAGTATGCTCTGGCCCCAACAGATCATCTGCAGCTACTTCCTACACAAAAGCTCCAGGCCGTCCACGCATGTCCAGATGCCATTAGTATTCACTGCTTTCTGAGCTGAGGACAATAATGCAACCTCTTACTTTTTAAATACTTTCTAAAATTTCAGTTCTGATACTCCTTCCCACTCCAATACATCCACTTCCCACTACTAAACAGAATCAATCGAGCTGAAAGGTGAGAAATATTCTTGTTTGGAAATAAAAACATTTTCCTCCTTTTCCTGGGAATAAACCAATTTTTCTTCATGTCAGAAGGGCAATAAAAGACTAAATTTTTTTTTCAAATAAAAAAGTGTGAAAATAAATGGGCATTAAAATGTCAACCCCACACACATATGTAGGACAATTCCATTCTAATAGGTAAGTGTTGGACTGGGAGAGAGGTCTGATGAGAGGCATTCACTTCAAGAGACAGACAAATACAGCCCATGTTAGCCCAGGGTAGAGTGTAGCTGGCAAAGGCAGAATCGACTCTTCCTCTCATGAGCTGTGTAAGGCTAGTGTACAGTGGCTTTCAACGACACGCAACGGATTCTAAACCAACCACTATATTAATCAATCATGTTTATTTAAAGTATTCTTAACATCAGAAAATTTTAATGTGAATTTAAAAAAAATCATTAAACAACCAGTTCACTTTTCCTATTCTAGCCACACGAGCCATCTGTAGCCACCCGGATCGCAGCTGGAGGCTCTAAGGAAAATAGGCTACAAGCTTCACTGTCCCAAGAACTACAGAAAACTGCCAAGGTAAAGTAAATACAGTATGGCTCTGTCATTCACACCAGATAACCCCAAATAAATACCTTATGGAAAAAATTAAAATCTATTAAAACCACTTAAAATACTTAAATGCAGAAATCTCAATTTTCCTTCAGTTGGGCAAGAAACCACCAAAGACATTATGATCACGGTTCCAAGGACAACGAGTGGAATGTTTAAAATTAGGCCAACCAACAAAGTCCTGTGAACGTTCTGATAGATCCGTTTACTCAGGTATACCGTAAATAAGAACTGAGCAACACAAGAAGCAAAAGTCAGTTTGCATGTGAAATTTCTATAAGCTCATGAAAACAATACCATCCCCAATCGCAGATGGAAAAGGAAAAACAGCTAAGAGTACTCTGGTCATCTTCAGTCATTTGGTCGTGCACAGCGTTAACATCTGTTTCCCACATCAACGTTAGTCCACAGGCGGAGCAGGCGGGTCCTGTCCCTGGCATTAAAAAAGAATGGGTTAGAGACTTTTAACACATCTAATAAGTAAAAAAGGAGCAGCGCACCTGTCCCCAACCCCGTCGTGCTAAACTCATACTTGGAGTCCTCAGGTTTTTATACAGGGAACATAAGGTAATACTGTGGTCTGGCAGGGTTTGCCCCATGCCTGCTTGTGTGTGGAGAAAGGGAAGCAGCCAACATGAGGCAGTGTCAGTCTTCTCCCTGAGGTGACAGGCTGAGTGCAGACACTCCCAACTGGAGACTCCGGTTTCTCACTATGGGATGTGTACCAGAATGTGGCCTGGGTGCTTATGGCAACCGTCTTATCACTAGAAGGGAAGCCCAGCTTCCAGTGAAGCCTGTAGTAAGAGAACAGAAACTGGCCATGCATGCACAAGTGCATGTATGTATATATATGTCTAGAACAGGTCCTGCACACTGTCTTGGGTACCTCAAAGGTTGGCTTCACGCACATTGGCCAAGCACTCCTAGTGAAGCCATCTCCTCAGACCATATGAGAGCACTGCTAATTTTTGTCTCTTTTGAGACAAGGGGATTTGTTAGGTAGCCTATGTGCTGGGATTACAGCTGTGTAGAGCACGTTCTGCTTCAGATCATTAAACTTCCTCAACACTGAACTAACTGGATTTTTGGTTTGTTAACCAGTAAGTCCACCTATTTAGTCACCTTTATGTTGGTTTTTGCTACTTGCATTAGAAAGCGTCTGAGCTAAAAGATGAAAACTGTGCCAAGCCATATGGGCTGAGGTACCAGGATCCTGAATGAGGCCAGCTTGAGCTACAAAGTGAGTTCTAGGCTATCTGGGCCATTCAGGGAGACTTATCTCAAAAACAGAGAGCGAGAGCAAGAAAGTAAACAACCAAATTTTAGGTCCGCTGGGATGGCATTATTTCCTCACCATGGCATGCTCTGTAAGGGGGGCAGCATTTCTACTGTAGTTTGGTTTTTCTGTTCCTTGCTTAAGACACACAAACTACTGTTCCTAGGACCAATAAGGTCCAGGGGTGTATCACCTGCAATGACTTCTAAGTCAGTTTAAGTTGGATTACTTTATCTCTAAACATTGGAGATATTGCTCCCTGTCATAAAAATAATAAAGGTGTACACACAGCATAAGAAAAAATGCTAAGAAAAAAAAATTCACACAGGCAAGTTCTTTATGCACATTCCCCTTTAAAGCTTTCTTTTCTACTTCCTTCCCTCCTTGACTTTCACCAACTCTGGCTGCCTCCAGGTGTCAGGGTTAAAGGGTACACCATCACAGCCTACAGACAAGAACCTATGTGCCAATGACGCCATTCTTAGCTAACTCAGCATAGGGCATGTCTACTGCTCTACCAAGGCTCCACGGTGCAGCCCGATTCTCACTGTATACTTGGTTTGCTTATAAGTTCTAACGTTAACAACACAAGGCTGCAAAAATGTAGCAATTAAGAACCGCACTTTGTGAAGGCTGAATAACAGAATTAGGAATAATATGGTTCCAGCATGTGGCTTCAACATGAAAAAAAGAAAGCTACTTTGTTTGTTTTTTTGAGATGGGGGTTTCCAAACTAGGCTCTAACTAGGCTCTAACTTGCTAACTAGCTCTAGCTAACTGGTTCTAACTAGCAAAGGACGACCTTGAACCTCTGAGTGTCCTACCCCCACCTCCCCAGTGAAGGGATTACAGGTGTGCCACCACATTCTGTGTGTGAGGTGCTGAGGAGCCAATGCAGGGCTTCATGCACGCTAGGGAAGCAGTCTACCAACCAAGCCATATCCCTAGCCTGAACACTTTTTTTTTTCTGGATGCCGTGTCATTTTATAGATACTATCACCTTCCTAAAATAGTACAAGGTGGCCTAGAGCTCACGAGGTAGACTAGGGTTTGTGGTAACCCTCCTGATCTACCCTCCCAAGTGTAGGGATTACAGATGAGCCACACCGAGCTCTGTCTGTTATTTTTTTATGTTTGCCTCCACAAAAGACAACCAGGGACTGACAATTTTATTATGACTACAATGAAAGAATTCAGTCCAAGAATTAAGTCTTCCCCTGGATAATTTAGATACTTCAGTCAAAACAAACACCCCAATGCTAACCCGAAAGGATGAGTAATTCTTACACTGTGAGGACTGGAGGGCTTTCCGGGGAGGCTGGAGCCTCTCAAATTAGGAGGCCTCAGTAAGAACAGGAGCACTGCAATCACCATCCAGGCCATCAGGATCACAGTGATGCTGACACTGTTGTCACTGGAGGGTCCTGGCACTGAGGACAAACAAGACAAACAGCTGTAGCGAAACTGTAAAACTGTCAGATAAAGGTAAAATAGATTCTAATGCTAAAAATCACAGTAAGAAAAACACTAATAGAGTAAAGCTGTAAACTAATATATTTCAATTTCTCATTCCTTCAAGTGAGAAAAATCTACAAGGTATAACTTATGTTAGTCACAACCCAAATTATAGTAAGGACTTTGACTAGTCTAACAGTTCTTTTTAATTTATTTGTTTATTATGTATACAGTGTTCTGCCTGCATGTATGCATACCTGCTATCCAGAAGAGGGCACCAGATCTCATTCCAGATGGTTGTGAGCCACCATGTAGTTGCAGAGAATTGAGCTCAGGACCTCTGGAAGAGCAGCCAGTGTTCTTAACCTCTGAGCCATCTGCCCAGCCCCATCTAATAGTTCTTTACAATTTTATCTTTTATTATGTGTCTGTGTAGGAGTCAGGTCCCCAGAGCTGGGGTAATGGACAGACTGTGAGTCATCTGACACACATGCTGGGGACAGAACTCTGATCTTCCACACGAGGCAGCCCAGCCAAATGTAGTAAGTTTGTATTTTGTGTTAAGAAAAACCTGAGACTGGGAAGACACTTATCACTGTGCCACTCCATGGACTACACATACTCAACAGTTTTGCATTGATTGCAGAAGGTTCATGGACTTAGGAAATCACAAATCCATAGATTTGCTGAGATCTAAAGAAGCCGATTAAGAATACCTAATGGGGGCTGGAGAGATGGCTCAGAGGTTAAGAGCACTGGCTGTTCTTCCAGAGGTTCTGAGTTCAATTCCCAGCAACCACATGGTGGCTCATAGCCACCTATAATGAGATCTTGTGCTCTCTTCTGGCCTGCAGGCACACATGCAGGCAAAACACTGTATACATGATAAATAAATCTTAAGGAAAAAAAAAGAATACCTAATGGTAGACCAGGCTGGCCTCAAACTCACAGAGATCTGCCTGCCTCTGCCTCCTGAGTGCTGGGATTAAAAGCGTGCACCACTACCACCCAGCTTTATCCTTTTATATTTGTGTGTGGGTCAGGGGGTAACTTTTAAGATCTGGTTCTTTCTTTCCACCATGTGATGCCCAGGCATTGAATTTAGGATATAAGCCTTGGTGCTAAGTGCTTTTATCAGCTGAGCCATCTTACTTGAACTTCACTGGACCCCATTCTTCTTACACAGGGTCTATCCATCATTTGTTATCATCAGGTCTCCAGGGTAACCTAGGCTGGCCTTACATTCCCGATTTTCCTTTCCCTAACTTCCAAACAAGCATGTCATCCAAAACTCCAGTAACATGAACGTCTCTGCTGACCAGCCCAGTGAGTAACCACTGCTGATCCATCTGACACCGAGCACACTGGTTTGACCTTTGCTGGTGTGATCTGGCCCTACTTATCTAATCTTCCCTTCTTCCAACAGTATCTCTTCTAGTCACTTCACATTCTTGAGCCAATGTTTCCCTCATCTGGCTGTACAACAATAAGGCCTGCGACCCACATCACAGATTGAGGCCCTGCCTCAGACCATCTGATTGAGGAGCAGCATATGGGTGTTGTCTAATACTTTTTTAAACCTTCCCAAATGAATATGATGTAATAATAATTCAATACTACTCATGCAAACTCAGTCCTTCCAAAGAACCCCATATCCTCCACCCTGTCTAGCATGTGTTCACAACCAACTCCCATTAACTCTTTACTTCCCTTTTCTATAACAATCCCATTCCTTCAGCTACTGTCCTGCTGCTTTCCCCACAGTATCATGGCATTTCTCAGTTGAAAAAAATGGCTTCCCAGCTTCCTAAATTAGATGATCAGATTGTTGCTGCTGATTTCAAAGGCTGGGGATCAAACCCAGGGCCTTGGATGTGCTGAGCAGCTAGATCTCTGTGAGTTCAAAGCTAGCCTGGTCCACACAAAGAAACTCGGCCTCACAAAAAGAAGAGGAAGAAGAAGAGGAAGGAGAAAGAAGAAGAAAGAATTGCCTGAAGCAGTCACAGAGAGGTAGGTGACAAGTAATGCTTTAAAAATTATTCCTAAGTGGTATGTGTGCATATGTGTGGGTACTGGAAGAGAACATCAGATGCTCTGGAGCGAGACTGAAGGTACTTATGAGCTGCCTGACATAGAAGCTGGAAACTAGGGGCTAGAGAGATGGCTCAGAGGTTAAGAGCACTGGCTGCTCTTCCAAAGGTCCTGAGTTCAATTCCCAGCAATCACATGGTGGCTCACAAGCATCTGTAATGAGATCTGGTGCCCTCTTATGGCCTTTAGGCATATACGCAGACAGAAAACTGTATATATAATAAATAAACAAAATCTTAAAAAAAAAAAGAGGAAGCTGGAAACTGGATTCAGTCCTCTGCAAGAGCAGCGAGCATTCCTAACTGCCAAGCCATCTCTCCAGTCTACACCAAGCTTTTAACATGGGGAATATAATTTAGTCTTATTTTATTTAAAAATTACATTATTTACTTATTTTGTATATGCATGAGTATAAGCATACATGCCATAGCACACGTGTTGCAGTCTGAGGACACCATGAGAAAGTTATTTCTCTTCTACTGTGTGTGTATGTGTGTGTGTCCCAGGGAATTGAACTCATCACCAAGATTGGAAGTAAGCGGCTTTATCTGTTGAGTCATCTTACTGGTCATTGCTTTGTTTGTTTTGATATCTCATGCATCCAGACTGGCCTCAGTGTAGCCACAATGGTTTGAACTCCTGATTCTCTTGTTTCTGTCTCCAAAATGCTAGGGGTTGCAGGCCTGCGCCACTACTCCTGGTTTGCTGAACTATGAAAAATAAGTAGTGCCATTCTAGGAAGTAAATCCGGCATATGAGCACAGTAATGTTCTACAAACCATAAGCAAAGCAGAAGGCGAAGGCGACATAATTTAAGCAGTAGCAAAGAAGGGAAAGGAAGCAACAATGCTTAGACATTAAAAAGCATACTAAAGAGGATTTGAGGAGGTCAGGCACAGTAGGTTCAAGGATAACCTGAGCTAGGTAATGAGTTTGAAGCCAGCCTAAGCACACAGTGAGACCCGGTGTGAAAAGAGAGATGGGCTAAGGTATGGTTCAGTAGTGAAGTGCTTGCCTCCCATACATAAGGACTGAAGTTTGATTTGAAACAGCATAAGAAAGAAATAGTCTTTTAAAAAGATTCTGTCAGGCAGTGGTGCATGCCTTTTAATTCCAGCACTTGGGAGGCAGAGGCAGTGGGGATGTCTGTGAGTTCCAGGACAGTCAGAGCTGTTACACAGAGAACGACTGTCTTGAAAAACTAAAAAAGGAAAAAAGATTCTACAAAGCCCTAACAATGTTTTTCATATTCAGACAAACCTCTGAACTGTCTTTCAAGGTAGTTCTATGAAAAGCCTAGAAATGCTCTTCAGATGGCTGCCTTCAGTAATAAGAAAACCTTGCTAAAAGGTAACTACAAAATGCAGGGACCAGAGGATGAAGATGCTAAGGCATGGCAAGTTTAGATCCAGAGATCAGGCAACTGCCAACAGAACTAGGGGGAGAGACAGAGATTACTACCTCTGTGCTGGGAATCTAGAAGATAGAAAGATTTGCCTCCAAAGTCTCTTTGCTCTCAAGAAACTTTGAACAGTTGACATAAAATAACTAAGTAGCCAGTGGTAGCAGGTGGACACCTTTAATCCCCACCCAGTAAAAAAAAGCCTAAGTAAAACATAGTTACTAGATACATACTTACTAGTTATAGGACCAAGAGTCACTAGATACATAGTTACTAGACAAAAGACAAATATAGTCACTAGATACATAGTTACTAGACAAAGGAAGAAACTTTAAAAAGACTTTTTAAGAACAACAGAGGACTGGAGAGGTGGTCAGAGGTTAAGAGCACTGACTGCTCTTCCAGAGGTCCTGAGTTCAATTCCCAAAAACCACATGATGGCTCACACCCATCTGTAATGAGATCTTGGTGCATGCTTCTGGTGTGCAGGCATGTAGGCAGAACACTGTATACCTAATAAATAAACAAATCTTTTAAAAAAAAAGAACAACAGAGATTCTAGGTTTCTATCTGTAAAGAATTTTAAGTTATATAAAGTACATTTTTCTAAGTTGTATGACAAGTGGTTTCTGTTGTGGGAGTATCTTCCGCTGCCTCAGCCAATAGTCGCTGAAGCACTAGCCCACAGTGCGGCGGGGAGCGCCTTCCACTCCGTCAGCCAATAGCAGCTGAAATACCAGCCCACTGGGGCGTGGTATATTTCTCTTTTAAAAAGAGACACAGATCCCGGATCAGGCTCTCTTGGTTCCGGCGCTTGCTCCCGGCTCCTGCTCCAGCGACTAGGCTCCCTTCCTGACGGTTTATGGTGTATGTAAGTTTTACCCCCCAAAATAAATAACCCCTTAAAACATAACTGGTGTGGGATTGATTCGCCGATAGGTTTCTGTTTTACTACTGATAATGTCTAAAAAAACTGTATTCATGTCTATATTATATTTTAAAAAAACCAACAGAGAATGGTACCACTAAGAAGGTAAGACTATGGGCTGGGCAGTGGTGGTGCAGGCCTTTAACCCCAGCACTCAGGGACAGAGACAGGTAGATCTCTGTTAGTTCGAGGCCAGGCTGGTCTACAGTGTGAGTTCCAGGACAGCCAGGGCTGTGTTACACAGAGAAATCCTCTCTCAAATAAACCAAAAAAAAGGTAAGACTAATTGTCAAAATATAGATAGAGTGAGGACCAGGAAGATGGCTTTGTAGTTAAAGGCACCTGCCACCAAGCCTGATGACCTGAGTTTGGGTACCATCCTCCAATATTTTTTTTAGGATATACCATCCTCAAGACATTAAAAAAAAAAGATGCAGAGTGAGCAGGAGTTGTGAGGCTATCTGGAAGAATATTCCCAGCATGGGGAACCAATGATGCCCCTGCATGAGGATCCAGTGGGATGTGGGATGAGCTCAATACTGACCATCACTAGT